ACCCTGTGGATATACTGCCCGAAATGCCATTATTATTATTATTATTATTATTATTATTATTATTATTATTATTATTATTATTATTATTCACTATGCTACAGAAACCAGAATAAGCTCCAGTTGTATGTGCCAATGGCTTGACTCAGTGTTTACCTTCTGTCAAGTTACTGGCTTATACTTGATAAATAACTATGATAATAGTAAAGTTATATAATCGTCTGCTTTCAGCGTTCAAGATTCTTTGGGTGGAAAAAGTTTTGGGTTGTCCTAGAGAGAGGTGTTCTTAGCTACTTCAATAAGAGGTTTGTATATTTTTTTTGCAATTTGATTACATCACTGAAAGCACAGGTATCCCAAGCTCCGTAGTAGCCATGGGCATTACATGACAGTGTGCAAAAGCGTTAATATAAGGCCCCGTTCACACCATGCCGGACGAATTTGAAAACGCAACAATCACCGGTCATTTTGGATTTGTGTTTGACGAAATTCCGGTCAGGGAAATCACGTGATTATCGTGACGTCATCGTTTTCGAAAAGCTCCGTGTTCAAAATGTTTTCCGTCCACACGAAAATGAAAAGCCGACGTTTTTCAAATTCCTCCGGTTTAAAGAGCGTTTTCGAAAAGCTCCGTTGTCGTGACGGATTAGTGTGGACGGTAGGCCTTGCCGTAGAAGTAAAGCCGCGTTTTCAAATTTCTCCGGCGTAGTGTGAACGCTGCCCAAGAGATTGTATGGGAATGTAACGACCGTTCGAGATGTGGAAAAAAAAGTCGATAAAAACGACTCGGCTCTTCTATTTGTTACCTATGTGTTTCTGTGGCCTTTTGGGGCCGTTTCAAATCGATTCCAGCGAGTTTTAGTTTCATCGTTTTCCTTAAATGGGTTGTCTATCTGTCTGTCTGTCTATCAGTCAGCCTGTTTGTCTGTCTGTCTGTCTGTCTGCCCTCCTGTCTGCTGTCTGTCTGTCTGTCTGTCTAGATATCATTCCTCGTTAATTTCATGTGTTGTTACATCTAGGGCTGATGCTGCAGCCAGTATTAAGAGACAAGGATATAAATACTTGGACCGCTGTAAATTTTCCGTAAGTTTTCATTAATTATAATACAAATTTCTATCGCGTGATAGTTGACAAGAGCATAGCACGAGTCAACTATCACCCAAAGTTGGTGAACTGATACGTTGGCGAAACGACCGGTTACCATCTCGACAGGTATATTGAGGAAGGAGATATAGAAAATGAAACACATTTGGGCGCCAACTACTCCCTAATTTGCGAGCGAACTACCTTTTTTTCTGGGCGTATAGAATTTTTCGGGCGAAACGACCGCCGGTTACCGGTTGTAGCGCGCGCTTTCTTACAAACTGTTTTCTAAAAACCTTTAAAAAATGACACGTTTCATTGGTTTTATAACAGTATCACCTTCTTTTATTTTTACAGGTGCCTAAAGATGAGAAACATAAAATTAAAATCCAGTATTCAGACAATACAGTTCAGATCTGGAGCATTCCAACCAGTGAAAGAGTTCCACAGGTTCAGCGCCAGGTAGGCTTGATTTCGTGTCCTGTTACTGTACCTTCGTCTTCTTTCTTTTTTTACGCGCGAAGTCTCTTTCCTTGCGCAGAATTCTTTCACCACTTAAGAGGCTAGTTTCCTCCGCAGCCGTTATTAGGGTCGTCACGCAACGCTTCTCCCCCACTAAGCAAATATGGGGGGAGAAGTGGGGGAGAAGCGTTGCGTGACGACCCTAATAACGGCTGCGGAGGAGACTATTAAGAGGCCTAAGCTATAGGTCACATTAGAATTACCAGTTTCGTCTACGTCCCAGTACACCATGGAAGTAAGGTCTTTTACTGTGTTGCTCGCCTCGGCTTTAAAGCGATTTCAGCGAGTTTTTTTGTTAGACCTGAATTAAATTTGACGAGACGTAAGTGCGACGTATGAATTAGGTGTGATGTTAAAATCGAAAATTTCCGTACGCAACTAACTCGAAGCTGACCACTTCGCTTTCTACGCGGTATGCCCGGCCAAGGAGTTGAATTCAGGTCCGGTTAGTGTTAGGATAGAAGTCTTAATCAAACGGCCAAGCTGCTCTTTGAATGGTCTTGGCTGTCATCGGGGGCCGGAGTCGGATCCCACAGTATGGTCCGACAAAGACTGCTGTAATACATAGAGTCCTGGTTAAGGTCTATATGTGTGCAGCTACTGATGGCTTAAATGGCATAGGGATGTTTTTAATTGAGTATCTTAAACCTGAAACCGACGTAATCACTCTACCCAATCACAAAGAACACAGACAATCTAGTGAACCAATCAAAACTCAAAACAAATACTTGCAGGCGACGAAAAGCGCGGGTAAACGTGTGCGAGCGAATCAGGATTGGCTTTTGTTTCACTTCTGATTGGATGAAAACGTAGCGCGAGTTTTTTTTTTCAGCCAGTCGCTCGGCGTAGTTATGCAGAACCATTTTAGCAAACAAGTGAAAACGGTTTTAACTTATCAGAGGTTTGTTTGTGATTTGTTTTAGCGATGGTTGAATTCCCTCCATGAACACTGCGCCTACAGTACATTCTACACAACTCAACCAACGTTACTGATCGATGAACAAGAACAGGATGTTGTACCGCTTGGAAACATGCAAGACTCTCTCAAGGTGATTAGTCCTTGAAGTTTAAAACTATGCTGCCGTCGTATACTGTTTCTATACTGTTTGTGTTACGTTGGCACGTTCAATTCTCTCGTAACATAAATAGTTAATTAAATTGAATGCTTTGAACAAACTAGCAGAAGACCGTTTACCATTTTTACCGTTGGGCTGAAATCTCCCAAACTGAACGGCTTTCTAGTTGAGGGAAAATAAACGCATGGATATAATGCAAGATTATGCAGGATAACTGACTAATTACTGACCAAATTTGGTGACAAATCGCTTTTTTACGCAAACAATAGTCTCCATTTGGCGAGAAAATGTGCACGGATATTATCCGCGGACATTATCTGTTCCGAGGGGCGAACATTTTTCCGAGAGCGTAGCTCGAGGTAAACTGAGCTTCGAGGAACACATATGTCCAAGGACAAATATTCAAGCATATTTTCGCGCCAACTGGGGGCTATTGTGTTTATTATCCTTCAAATATTTATCACAACACGAAAATTGGGGAATATCCCTCAGATATTTCCCAGTTTTAGCTTGGGCATATTCAGTCACTTGACACGTTTACACCAGTCGCGTGCGAGCAAAAATATTTGATGGATTATTAAGCCAGATATGTTGCGATTGTGCAGCCCTTCGCAGAAATTCTGACGAGTCTTCCTCAGCACAAGACCATATTTGCTAAGTACGGATGACGTAAAACAAGGACATCCTCGCCTAACATGGGCATTGTGAAAATGTTTTTAATAAAATTTACTCCAAATAATGGGCATTGTTTGGTTAACAATTAGCTTATGAGCTCGAGAATTCTATTGCGTGAGCGCAGCCCGAGTCAGCTCTAACGCATAGAAATCGAGAGCGAATAATCCAATTGTTTTAGAATAAAATGTACTAGTCGTTCAAAACTTTATCTAAATTCTCTTCACAGAAACTGCGAAAAAGCAAAGCATCGGTTGCCATTTTCTTAACAAGCGCACACTGCTAGGCTACTCATTATCTACAACAGAATAGATAGTTAGTAGCGTAGCCAATCAGAGGAAGGCATGCGTGATAGAACGCTGGTAGATCTAGACTCAATGTTTATAATGTAAGTGATTGTTGATTTTGTATGCAGAGTGCTCGCGCCCACCAACAGCTACTTGACCAGCAAGTGTCTGGAGTCAACAGTACAATTGCAGACGCCACCAGCTCCAATACGTCACAGTCCAATGTCAAAGGTGAGAGTCACGCTATACTTAACGCAGCGTGACGTTAGCCTATGAAAACGAAAAAAGAGCCTCTTAAACCAGTTTCCCCTCCGCTACAGAGCCTGTAAACATGTTAAACGGAACTGGAACCCGCTGAAATGTAACTTATTATAATTTGCGATTAAATTGTTTTAATACTCGTAAAAGATATCTAAGGGGAGAACCATTTGACCTTTGAGGGTGTGTGATTTGGTATAGACCAACCTCGTACCCAGGGTCTTTCATCTTCCCTCCCTCCTCTCTCGTTCGGGGAGGGCGGGAAGATGAGACCCTGGAAACGAGGTTGGGTATAGACATGAATTTTTCTTTTTACCCTTTCAAGCACTAGGAATTAATCTTCTTTCGGACGTGTCTTTGCATGATATTTTTTCTCCTCACTCAACATGCGTTAAAATTTTCGACAATAGTTTGTTGCATGATTTTTTTTTTTTTGTGGTACAAGTATCTTGCAGAATATTTTTTCAAAATCCCCTCCTTCCCCTCAAAAATCTAACTGCCCACCCCTAAATTCATTGTTTTCTTTTCTACTGCAGGAAGTTTATTGAGGATCAGCGAGAAACTCAACGAAGTGGTCGCGACAGCTCGGAACATGTGTAACGCTCTCACACACTGCTTAGATTTGCTGGCGCAACAGGAGGAGGTGAGACTGTACAGCGGTTTCCCTGACTCCTTGTACTTTGTGTATGTTGCGTAAATTGCACGAGTAAATTTGATTACGGAATTGAACAGCCATTTCAGAAAACCAGTAAGATTTAGGACATGTCTAATAGATGAACTGTTTGTTTTTTGGGGTATTTTATAGGAAAATAAAACGTTTTCGGCTCTTTCTGGTGATTAAAGTTTTAACTGGCATCATACTCGGTAAATTTGTTGAAGTTTCCACTTTTCCACTTATTTTCGGTTAAAATTGTGAATCACAGCAAAAGACTTTTAGAGTCATGCCATTGTCGATATATTTAACAGTATGTCCAAAGTTGTCCAAAGTATATAACAAAGTATTCCGAAATTACAGGAACGCATAACAAAAGAAAATGGAAAACTGCACTTATTTAACGGGTGTGAATGGGGTATTAGTTAAGTTCGATTAACAATGGTGAAATGGATTAACACTTGGACAAACTCTTACATGAAGCTCTTAAGTCATGGATTAATTCCTCAAAGATTTTTTTAAAATATTCTTGCATGAAGATTACTTTTCAGACTTGCTCTCCTAGCAATTGTTTAGTGCTTTCTACTGTTCTAAACATCAAGTAAGAGGTTTCAGCCGGTTTTAAAACTTTCGTAAATACAAAATTGGATATTGTGTAGGGTGAAATTTTACACAAGTTCATTTTTGCGGTGTTAACTTTATCACAATCGTGTAATTCGGGATACAGAGATTATCCTTTTGGGATTTCGGGAACGTTTAAGAATTTTGAAACCAGTTTTAAGATAATACATTAATGTGAGAAACTATGAACGTGAGACTCAAAATAGGAGTGTAAAAAAACGAGTAAATTTGGGCAGAAGATTGTTCTGCGATAGCTTTTTTTACTGCAAGATTTTCTTTGCGGATGCTCAGTCCCACGCAAATCCCTTAAATACAGTCGGAAAGTTTCCGGTCGGAACTCGTTGAGCCTGCGATTTTCGGGAAACCTCGGAAACTCGTCGACTGCCTCAATGAAGATTTTGGAACATGTCTGAGTTTCATTTTGCCTGATAAAATTGATGGCGTTGGTTTTAAATGCTTGGTAGGAACTTGTGGTATTTTCTTAGGGTAAAAGGACAGGAGAAATTCAGTTCAGTTATTTATTTAGCTGTTTATGTAAAGATACTTCCGGTTGCCGTTCTTTTTTCACACTAGTCAGCGGTTTCCAACTGGTTTATGGTAATTAACTCAGCATTGTAGACATTTTGTTTTTCACTTCGTTCCTTAGTCTTCGTTTGCGGTGGTTTTCAGGTGCGCCATCTTAGATTTGAAGAAGAAGTTGAGAAGAGAAGAGTTCTTGAAGATGCTCTGCACGTTCTGGCGACGGAACATCATGCTCTGGAGTGCTCAATTGGAGCTCATGAGGTAGAAACGCTTCGTTTTATATTTCCTCTGCGTTTATTTCCCTCGGCACAACATTTGCATAGCTGTAGTGTTTACCATTGCACGCGCCACATCCTTGCCACGTCGTGAGAGTTTTTGATTAGTTCCTGTCATCTTTAAATTAGTTTTCCAGTTGTCGGCCAATCGTAAGCCGTGTTAGATTGTGGGCGGGCTGCACACGTCGCACGTGCGGTTCTTTGCCTTCTGATTGGCTGAGAATCTCAGCAAACCAACAAAAATGTTGCCAAAATATAGATACCTCGCTGACATGGTTTAGAAAGCAGTATTTGTATAAGGTGATTAAAATTTATTTCAAATCATAACGCTTTTAAATATTCAAGACAGGGTTTTAACCGTAGAAGAGAAACTAAACCTAAACACTGCCTCCATTTTTTGCCTTGAAAATCGAATGGTTTTTCGCTGACAGGTTTATCCGACTGTTAATTATTTTTTTTAGCATAGTTTTAGCTTCGTTACGTAACTTAATCGCGATCTAGGGATGTCAACATTGAATAATTTTGGTGTAGAAATACGAAATAACATCCTTTAGTGATCAGGAATCAGATTTAAAGCTTTGCTTTTGCTATATTGACTTTTCAGATAAATTTTAGGACACTGAATAAAACATTTTTCCATCGGAGTAGCACAATAGTAGTAATTTCAAAGCAAGAATAATTGAGTAATAAATTGTGTTTGGCATTTCCACACGAGTGAATATTTTGTCTGGTTGCCTGGGTAAATAACAATTTCGAGTTCTTTTTTCTTTCTTTTACTTTTTGTTTGGCATTTTAAAATACGTTCATTGTTTTGTGACATTTCTTTGGTGTGGTATTTAAGCGGGGTTTCAATAATAGATTACATTTCAGATTTAGCCGCGATTTTGTCCGCATGCAAGCGTGGCAAATATTACCCTGTTCGTATGTAAATTTTATGTAAATATTTCTCGCAAAATCAATTCAATTTCCTTTCGACGGTCTCTTGAAACTGCCAGCCAAATAAATCGATGCAATAATCTTTGAGTCAGGTAAACACGCTCAAAACTAAGAAATCCGATTTCAATATTTTTATAAGTTTTACAGTTATTTAAAAGTCTTCCACAAAACCAGAGTAATTGTACAGATTCGAGAACGCAAATCTATGAGAAAGCGACAACTCAAGTCTTATTACCTTTGTTTGTAAGCTTTCAAGTTTGCCTGCTAAATTCGAATTACACTTTGAGATTAAAATCAATGATAAAAAGTGCAGAGCAAAATTTCGTCTTTGTCTTAATGACACCATAGTCAAATAATTCAAATGTTTTTAATATGCGGACCACAACATATTTTACATTACCATATTTCAGTTTCACAATTCCATAACGAAACAGGCCCAACGTTGTTCTGTATATTTATCGCTAAGTTTCATAAGAAAATTTCGTTCAAATATTGCTATATTCGATGACAACAGAAAGCTTTGTTTATTTTTAAAACGGATTTCGAAGCCGGCATTTATTCTTGTTTAGTTTAGCGGGGAAGGGACGCCGATTTTCAAAACAATACGTGTTGTCAATGTGAATCAAAACACGCATTTCTCTCAAGTTCTAAAGTAATGATTTTCGTTTCTTTGGGGGTTTAGCAGCTTTTTCCTATTATTAGCTTCAGGCAGCTAAAATGTGACAGCTGTTCAGGCCGAACCACGATAAAATAAAATGTACTGAATACGTGTTAAGCTGAAAAGGAGAAATCTGGTCGAAAACAAATTATATTACATCAGAACAGAGTGAAGTATGTGTATTCATCTCTTACTAGAATAAGGAAATAAAGGAGGAAAGGTTAAGAGATTTAATCCCCGATAAAGGCGTTATTCTGCAGGTTATCTAGACTACAAAGTAGTCCCTCTTTCGCTTTGTCCGTCGTGCGTGACGCGAAAGGAATCCTCGAGGGAAAAAATGTCCGCGCGAAGCCAGGATTTCGCGCAGCTATTTTTTACTCGAGGTTTCCTTTTGCGCCACGCACGACGGACTAAGCGAAAGAGGGACTATTCGTAGTCTACAGGTTGTCCCTCTCAAGATATTTTTAGACAGGCCTTTTGGACATGGTACCTAGTTCTTCTAGATAATTTTCCACGCGCGCTGCGTGGATGATTTCGTGGAGAATGAAATGTTAATTGCGTGTAGTTTCTCGGATTGGTCGCTTGCTCAGGGGTGAATCAAGGATCTTTCAAAGCAGGGGGGTGGTGGTTGGTACCTTGGGGTTGCAGGATCAATGGGGCATTCCTCAAAAATGTTGCAATTTGAGATTTGAAGCCTGATTGAAAACCGGCACATCAGAAATACTAGTAATGACACAACTATTTTAGCTAGAAAAAAATTAACTTCAATTACAATGAGAAACTTGTCCAAATTGTTTGCCTTCATTTGCCATAACATTTTACAATCTCTTCCATATGAAATTTCTTGGGTGGAATCTCGTCTCGTGCGTTCCTTGGCGTTCTAACCACGTGCACCTTTTTTGCAGCTCATTCATGGAAGTCGCATGACATTGACGAGCGATTGCAACGAGGAATTTTTCGACGCAAGATCCGATATTGGATGTGCGCTCCCTGACGATCTGCTCTCGGATGACGACAGTGATGATGGCGACGAGTATGTGCCGAGTGTAGCGACGCCTGAACCGAGAGGCGAACCAAATCACCTTCAGACACTCGTTGAAACCAGTAGCAGCAGTAGTAGCGATAATATAAAGCGATCCAGCTCGGGAGGAAAGCTGGGAAGTTTTAACAGACTTTCGTTAACGCGAAGCACGTCAGATACAGATCTTACCGCGAAATCTAACAGTAGGAATTTTTTGGACTGCGACAGTTTACAGAAGTCAAAGTCGGCCTCCAGTGATATGGAGCAAAGTACAGCGTTATATAGGAAACAGGAAGCTGAGAAACAAGCAAAAGCGAAAGGACGCTACAGGTAGGCTTTCGTCTGAACGCTTAAATCACGATGTATAGCGTACTAAACAGTACCACATGAAAGTACTGCGCAATAGCTTTCATTTGAATGGTCACACACTAGGGTTTCACTCGCAGACTTAAAAAAGTTAAAACCACCTTGTACAGCATAATAAACAGTACCGTATGAAAGTACTGCTCAGTAGCTTTCAGTTGAATGGTCACACACTAGGGTTTCATCCACAGACTTAAAAGTTAGAACTGCCTTGTACGGCGTGACAAACAGTGCCACATGAAAGAACTGCTCAGTAGCTTTCATTTCAATGGTCACATACTAGGGTTTCACCCGCGGACTTAAAAGTTAAAACCACCTTGTACCGCATAATAAACAGTACCGCATGAAAGTACTGCTCGATACTGAGCTTTCATTTGAATGGTCACACAATAGGGTTTCATCCACAGACTTGAAAATAACAATCACCTTGTACAGCGAGACAAACTGTGCGACATGAAAGAACTGCTCAATAGCTTTCATTTGAATGGTCACACGCTAGGGTTTCACCGACTTAAAAGTTAGAACCACCTTGTACAGCGTGACGAACAGTGCCACGTGAGATAACTTGAATGGTCACATACTACACCACATGCAAAGCTTGCCATAGAAATGAACTAGTTTTCGACGCGTATGATGGTGCAGCACCATTAATACCCATACTTTTCTCCTCACAGAACAGCTCTCCCTGTATCTATGCTTTCAAGAAATGAGTTCAGTGTCTGGGCGGTGCTGAGACAGTGTATTGGAAAGGTACGACGCAACGGCTGCATCACCACGTGACATTTTCCCGCCACAAATGTATCACGTGACTTTGTAGCCGCAAGTGTCTCTGTTGTGATTTGGTTCAAACAGGCCGTTTCAGCGTTACTCTTTGGCCTATTTTGCGGAACGAGTTCCGAGTACAAAATATTTCGTGTGAAAATGAGTTTGATCTGCATGCAGGATGATCAATGTGCAGGCTAAGCACATTTTAATATGAATGGTTTTGCTGGAAGCCTCTTCTCGAGACATAGGCAAAATGTTACTTGGAAATGGCTTATAACAAGCAGTTAAGAACGCAAGTATTTGAAAGTGTACAGTGCTTTTACAGCTATACCTAAATGTTAGCTTATCTTTAGCCTTTGTTATGCCAAGGGAGACTTTATTATTGTCGTCTAAGACAGGGCAGTGCTATCATCGTAAGTTATGGTAGTCTTGCAATCTTCCCTTGCGCTAAGCAGACCCTTTGCTCTGGCTTGTTAATTTAATTTACATTGTTATTGTTCCACCAGGATTTGTCAAGAATTACAATGCCAGGTGTGTAAAGAATTTCTTAATACAAGCAAGGTTTTTTTTTTCCTTCTCGACTTTTAAACTAGCCCTCCTCTGGATTTCCTAGGAGAGAGACTGTTCACGAGATTTAAGCCGACTGGATTTTCGATAATGGTGTAGTGTTCTTCTGAGATTCGTTTAGTCTTGTTTATCTAGTATGTAGACTGCTTTGCAGTGATTATAAGGCCGTCAAGCAAAGCTACTCTTGATGCATTGCGTGATGCCTCAAATAAACTACTCAACAAGGGCATTGTTTGATGTCACGCTCTGTCACGTTCTTTCAGTTATCTTCAATGAACCACTGACGTTTTTGCAACGTGTCGCGGAGTACATGGAATATGTTCACTTACTTCACACGGCGGCCAGTTTAGATGACCAACTACAACGAATGCAGGTAAACGAATTACTTGTCAGGCTTTTGTCACGCGGTTTGGTGACTTTTAGACGATTCTGTTGCGTAAGAAATAGTCTTGAAATGGAACAAAGCCTACAACTAATGGTTTAAGATCAATAGACCATTTTACAGTTGTCTGCTCAGTGACCTGGCCTTTGTATGGCAACGAGGCTAGAGTTGACCTTGTTTTGATACAGACCTCACTGTTTTTGTCATGTAAATGCACCTAGTTAGCATCAGAACAACTTGTTTTACACAACAAAAGCAGTGAGGTCTGTATCAAAACAAGGTCAACTCTAGCCTCGTTGCCATACAGAGGCCAGGTCGCTGAGCAGACAACTGTAAAATGGTCTATTGCAGCGCACTTCTGGCGCCAACCGAAGGCAAACGTTTGCAAAAATACAGATACTAATTACTAAATACACTGTAAATTAAATGTGACCATAGCATACTGTCAGCTGTTAGGCCTACTTCACACTAGGACACAAACGAGACGATGACAAAACGACATAATCACTTATGTCGCGATGTGGACATCGATATAAAAGCATAAGGAAAAGATCTGTTTTTTTCCCTTATGTCGCTGTGTTCATGCTGTTATGTTGCTATAATGCCATTATGTCAGGATGTTCACACTACAAACGTAACGACGTAACGTCCTCATGTCGGTCTGTTTATGTTGTTATGTCGTTAGTGTGAACTAGGGCTTACCTACCTGAGTAAACTTGGTGACTGTCGGTATGTTGTAGTATATCTCCTTGAACACCTGATCAACACGTGTTGATTTGTTTTCATTTTAGTATGTGTGTGCATTCGCGATATCAGCTACAGCGTCGAATCTGGACAGAGTAGGCAAACCTTTTAATCCGCTTCTAGGAGAAACATATGAACTGGTTCGGTGAGTATTGAGAAATGCGTAGATTTATTATCCAACTGCAGCGAATACCGTCCAAATAACAGCACAAATATACAGCGATATTGTACAGTTATTTGTACAGTAACAAACCCGGACAGATCGGCGCGCTCGCAAAACTGTCGCACTCTCCCTCTTTCACTGATAAATTTATTGACTACAGCAGTTGGATGATAAATCTCTTATTAGATATTTTGGTGTGTCGTATCGCTTTATATTTTTACTCGTTGTTTGTGTTTTGACTCGCCCTACGGGCTCGTCAAAATACGGCACAACTCGTAAAAATTTACAGCGGTACTACACACCAAAACATCTCATAAGATATATGCATTCACCGCCTGCGCGCACGTTTAGCGTTCGTCGTACTTCTCATTATAAACTTACTGTCTTTTTTCTCTTGGCAGAGAGGACCTGGGCTTCAAGCTAATAGCAGAACAGGTTAGTAAGCGTCCTGGCTTCTGATTGGTTCTTTCCAAGCTTCCGAGTTCACCCGGCCATAAGGAGAAGAGAAAGACTCAATCGAGCAATGAACTTAGACTTGTTTAGTTAACCAGTTATAGATTAACCAGATACCATTCAGAATTCGCTGTTTCTGTATTCCGTTTGACCAAATGAGGGCAGATACCACTTTGTTGTCGCTCACATTCTGACGTTCAGTGCATTGAGCCAATCAGAATTCAAACTAAAAACGAGCAACCGGCTAGAAGAGCGGGAAAAGTTACATACGCCATTAAACCTGATTGGCCGAGAAGACGGTTACCTCACTGTGATTGGTTAGCGCACGTCGCACGCGTTTTCTGAAGTACTATATTGAGTCTGCAAAACAAAACACATACAGCCATAAAGCAACGCGTACTCACGCGTGACATACACGTTACGCGCGTGTTCCACGCGTGGCACGCCTGTCTCGTGCCCGTCAAATCTCCTGCGGGGTGGTGTAAGTGGAATACTGACCTAGTTCGTTGTTATTACAGGTCAGTCACCACCCGCCTGTGAGCGCTGTACAGGTTGTAGGGGAAGGCTTTGTGTTTCACGTTACAGTTCAACCCAAGCTCAAGTTTTGGGGCAAAGGAGTTGAAGTTCAACCTAAAGGAATGGTCACGCTGAAGTTAACGAAGTAAGTCAGTGATTTGTTCCAAAGGAACAGGAGAAAAGTGGAGAAAGTTCCAGATTAAAATAACCACCAATGGTACAATACCCACTAAAACGTTTTGGGAAACGCAGCATTTAAAGTAATTTTTTCATACAGTTATGAAAATGTATCTAATTACCCGAAGGAGGGGAGCTGCCCGGGGGGGGGGTGACTTTCAGATAGTCCTTCATGGTAAGTGCTCGTGCTAATCACTCTCGGTTTGAGCGTTGCGGAGATTTTTCTCGCCTCGAAGTTGGCTTTCGCTTCTCGACTTGTTGGCAATGCTAAGGGGAAGGGTTTCGATATTAACTTTAGCATCCATCCCCTCCCCCAACCCCCCCTACCGCTTGACATTGCTCAAGACCCATCGTTAATAGAAAGTAATTAATTTATTTTCTCCATCTCCAGGTACAACGAAGTTTACACGTGGAACAACGTCAACAGCTGCGTCCATAACATAATCGTAGGACAGCTCTGGATTGAACAGGTTAGTTTATGTTTGCTTGTTTCATGTTTTGACGGTCAATTGAGGCCCCGTCCACACTACACGGAAGAAATTTGAAAACGGATGTTTCACCCTGAAAACGCATCAAATGTTTTCCGTCCACACTACGCCGGAGAAATTTGAAAATGTGGTCGATATTACAACATCTTGCTCACTGATTGGTCAAACATTTACTCTGTCTTTCTGTTTCGATTTTTCCCGCTCCTCGACACGTCCACTCCTATAGTGTTTTATGATTGGCTAATCTGCCATCTTGTTTTATGATTGGTCAAAGATTTATTTTGTGCAGTGGAACCCCACCTTACGGTCATCTCGTTAATACAGTCACCTCGTTATTACGGCCACTTTTTTGTCCGTGCGAAACACCCATACATTTTTTCCATAAGAAAACCCCATTAATGCGGCCAACGGCCAAATTCTGAAATCCCCACCTGTATAAACCTTTATAATGATTTTACCCCGTTTATACGGCCACTCAAACCAGTTATGTTCACCTTTCCATTGTTAATATTGTATGTACTGATTGGAGTTTCAATTTTAAGAAAAAATTACGTCTGCATTCTGGATGCTTATTAAAGAACAGTTGTTTAGAAGTACAATTGTGGTATATTTGTTAAGACTTCACTTAATTTAGACCAGTCATGAAATTTGCCCCTACCACGTTAATACGGCCAAATTTTCATGGCCCTTGGAGACAGTATTAACGGGGTTCCACTGTGTTTCTTTTGCGAGCTCCCCTTTATCTGGCCTGCTACTCAGACGCCCTTTTGCGCTCGTCACGCAATCTTCCTACCCCACGGAGAAGATTGCGTGACGAGCCCAAAGAATGTCTGCGAAGGAGGCTCCCCTTAATTACAGTTATTTTTAACGTCCTCTTTTCTGTTTTCTTTTCTTTTAGTATGGTCAAATAGAAATAACTAATCACACAAATGGGGATTATAGCGTGATTCACTTTAAACCTGGCGGCTGGTTTGGTAAAGAACTCAATAAAGTTGAAGGCTCCATCTTCTCTGCCGAGTAAGTTGTTCAAAAATTCTCCTTACTCCAAATTCTCCTTACTCATCGCCATATATTTCTTTTATGTTAGTTATGAGAATCTGATAGTGCATCAAGACCATCACTTGTTGATGCTTGCTTGCTTCGTAATATTTTGCAAATGAAGTAAATTTGAGATTTCTTGTAACGAAACTTTTCAAACTTGAGGAAAACGGTCAAGGCGAGTTCCGGAGGAATACTGTTACCTTTCGAAAGTGTTATTGCGGGAAGGCCGCCCGTTTCTTGAACCTCCGGTCTTATTTAAGACTGGTGGGGAATGAATATGTGTCCGCTTAGAACAGGTTCCCTTGCTTAATAAACGTTGTATTAAGATCAAAACCAAAGCCATTACGATACCCAACTAAGAGAAACGGAAGCAAGACGAAGAATTAATGAGAAGTCGAAAGAAATACGAGGTTCGGCGCCAAGTACGTGACAAAGTCGTGATTTGTTTTCCCATCCCCTGTATCGTACTCTGGTAAAGAGCTCGCATAACACTCAATCCTCTTCAAATCGCAGCAAAAGAAAACGTTTCTTATTGCGGGGAGACTGGACAGACTCGATCCAGTGCTTCACGGTCGACAAATTCACCAGGAAGGAATCCAAGAAGGAGGGCAAGCGGCGCCGTTCAGACGTGAGTGAGAACAGCTTTGCGTCCGCTAATTCCCTGGAGAGTTTCAGCAGCGGCAGCAGCGGCGGCAGTGTTAGTGTGGACACGTCGACACCTAAGACTCTCTGGAGTTTTCAAGAACGACCTGCTAATAGTAAACAGGTATTACACGAATACCTTGTTAGTATGAGTAATCAAATGAAATAATTTCACGTGCGGTTTGTCAAAACTCAGATTATTTTCGTCGCCTGAAAACGCAAGTGAAATTATTTCTTAACTTCACGAGTATACTATTTGATTTCCTTTCAATGTCATGGGTGACAAATTACACTTAAAATTCTGGGTTTTTGAGAAATTTCGCCCAAACGTTGCTATGGCAATTTTGTAATTACGTATGTGAAATTATGGAAGTTCGTGCCAAAATTAAGGAGTGATTTGTCAGCCATGATATTAACTCTGAAACTATTCATCCTGTCGAACCACGGAGAACTATTTTCTTCCTTCTGGTTTTGTTTCAGCAAGACTGACGGGTGTAATTTTACAGCAACAGTTAAGTATTGGTTTTGTAGTTTCTTTTCAATTTGTCACGTCTTACCTTTTTTTTTTCTTTTTTTGTACAGATGTATAATTTCACTACATACGCGATGCAATTGAATGAACTTCACGAAGATCAAAAGTCCACGGTAAGGCATGTGCTCTTATTCAGAAAAATGGCGGGAAAGATACGCCAGCTGTTCCACTGTCTGCTGGCTCATAAAAATGGCGGGAAAATACAGTAACAGCTCCACTTTCTACTCGCCCGTCAAAATAGCGGGAAAATTGGCCAACATGTCTACGTTCTGCTCGCCCGTCAAAATGGCGGGAAAAATACAGTAACAGCTCCGCTCTCTAGTCGTCCGTCAAAATGGCGGGAAAAATACTGTCTGCTCGCGCGTTTACTAGAATTGCAGGAAAAATCGGTCAACAGATCTACTGTCTGCTTGGGCGTCAATCAAAGTGGCGGCAAACATACGTCTGCGAGCTTCTTGTCCGCACGTCCATCAAAGTGATGAAGAAAATTCTCAACTGATCCAACAACATGGCGCGAAACATTTGCCAGATAGACTGTTGTCTTTTGGCCTGCAAAAATGGCGGGAAAATCCACCACCGGGTTTATTGTTTGGTCACGCTGGCAGGTTGACGAAATTTTTCTAAGACTAGAGAGTGTTGTAACTCTCACTTATGACTCCACTGGCGCTAGTTTTGCAAGGAACCGATAATAGCTCCGAAAAGAGAAGTTAAATAATAGATAAATGGTCACTTTATTTAAGCTCCATTTTAATAGAAGAAGAGTAGAAAATCATAGCGGGATACTTTTGTAATTTTGTTATCAACAGTTACCGCCAACAGATTCAAGGCTGAGACCAGATTGTAGAGCCCTTGAAAACGGCGACTTAGGTAAGATTGTACAGTACAGTGTTGTGTGATCATTCTAATGAAAATAAATTGACTACGACTCGAAAAGAGAGTAAGGTAAAGCATTCATTCACTGTTTGTCAAATGTATCTTTCATCATTCTTAGGTCATGCGTTTGTAATTCATTCTAAGTGACTTTTCATTCATCGTTGGAATGTAAAGTGCATTTAAAAACTGCATGACATTTTTTCAAACAAGAAATTCCATATTCATTTATCAATTCACATCCTCGCTCCTTCATTCATTCATTTGTTTATAGTGATTTTTTTATCTGTAGACACAGCTACTAGGGAGAAAATAAGACTTGAAGAAAAACAAAGATCAGCGAGAAGAGAACGACAGAAGAATGAGCGCTGGATTCCCAGGTAAGCAATGTTCGAGTCATCTTCGGGAGTCCTCGGAAATCGTCGGATGTCTTCGGTTCCTCGGGCTTTGAATCGAAAATGTTTCTGGGACGATTTGCAAAAATCGCTGTCATGAAATCTATTTAAAGTCCTTGAATTTTCTTCTGACATCTGATTTTCACATGTTCTTGAAAAGTCCTTTGAATTTAAGCGAAACTTGAGTCATGCGAAAAAAGAAGAGTCACTAAATTCACTTAATGGGCCGAATGGAGAAATTCTCGCAAGATGCTAAAGAATGTCGAGGAACAACTAGCTTGGGCATTTGTAATATGGAGAATGTGCACGAGTCTTGAAAAAATTGTAGAAAAGTTTCAGAATAGTGCGAACGGTCAATCTACTATTTTTTAATTTCCCATAATTTACTCTGTTTGCCCTCCAAAATTTCCACAACCTATCATTTTTAACTGCTCTTTGAAGGTCTGCATATTCTTAAGAGCATTTCACAGCGATAGTTCATGTAAGATTTGGGGGGCAAACAGAGTGAATTGTATGGACATGAGCAATTTTCGTATTCTTGGTATTGGACTGGAAGCAGCTTGCAATCGAGACTCATGCGGGGAAATATCATCAACAAGAGTCTAACAATTTGCATTTGAAAGGACTCCTCGCATTAGCCTCAGTTGCAAGCTAGTTCCAGTCCAATACCGAGAGTACGAAAATGGTCTGTTGGCGGCTAGTCATAAATTGTTTGTTTGTTTGTTTGTTTTCTTCTTTTCATGACAGATGGTTCAAAGAAGACATCAATCCGTACACAGGGCAGATTGACTGGCTGTTCACAGGAACCTACTGGAATAGAGACTGGAAAATGTGCCCAGATATCTTTTAACTTTCCTCTTAGTTCATAACAAAATTACAATTCCTATCCAGTCCGTCGGGGTTTTTGAAGAATCGTCATGAAACGGGAGCGGAGTCGCTTGAAATTCGCAGGCAACGTGACTACTCGCGCGATTCGCGCGTGATGTCATTCTCGCGAGTCGTGTTCGTCTCGCGTTCTACCGATTTCAGTCGGGGAGGGCGCTTTTTTTCTTTAGTAAATAATACCTCGTGCTGATAAGCAATTATTGAAGTCGTTGAAATAGCGATTTGGCAGTTTATCAACAATCTCTGCTGTTTGTTGGATCATACAAAATTATCGTGTTTTCTATTCAAAATAAAGCGAGGCAAAATTTATTGCAGAAAAATATCATAGCTTATGTAGAAAAGTCAGATTTTGGCGGATAATTCTAACGCCATTGACACTCGGTAATTTTGTGGCAAATTTTGTCACCTCAGGATAATCACTTTGCAAGTAATTACAAATTGCTAATAAGTAATGCCTTCCACGGCAGACTCTTGGTTATTCAGTTACGGCACCGCAAATTTCTACCAAAAGAACGTACCGAACAAGAATGGCCATTTTATTTTTGTAACAGATTGTTAACTCACAATTGCATTCGAAAAGTGCTCGAAGGAGTTTGAAATAGTAAGGATTTCGTGTTACTCCGTGCAGCCCGACAACAGCCAACAGTGACGCAAGGGGCCTGGATCGAAATTTACCTCGATCTCGTGCTCACCGGTGAATTAAGTCAGAAATTTTCTAAGTTTATCTTCAGAGTAATCTGTCTCAATCCTCCCCAATATTTCCCTTCGTTGTTCTTGTTTTATTTATTATAACCTCTTTGGTGTTTATCTACCTTACTATTCCATTATTTTTTGGAAGGCCCTCTTTCAATTTAACTTATCTAATGCGTTTTTTTTGGCACAATGGCAAAGCTAAAAGAAACGTTCATTTTCGAAGCCCATAGATCACTTGATCCAACGGAAATTGGTTATGTAATATTGGGTATTTTGTACCTAATTTCTTCCCCTAAGATCTCCTTTTATCTGACGGCGCAGACAATGCGGACGCTAGTTTAAGAATATGCGTAGTAATTAAAAGAGGACTCGTGACGTCACCGTTGCCGTTGCTGTGGTTGGACTCGATAGAGTTTCATGTAGTTGAATTAAGAATGAGCAAAGTTTAATTTGGAGTATTTATTTGGTGTAATAACGGTATTGAAAAGCGGAGGGAAATTGTTCCAGTTTGTCAGGGGAGCTCTGACGTAGCCTGTGTACCTCTTCTCACTCCCCTCATAACAAAATCTTGAAGAACAAGATTTCCTAAATGGGTTTGATTTATTGCGGGGTGTGAACATGGAATACTAAAAAACTGGTGGGTGTGTTTTCAAACTTTGATATTGAACAATAATTTGATAAAAACAAGAGGATAGGGTTTAATGACAGCTGGAATAATAAGGTTAAATTTCTTGGAGCTAACAGAATAAAATTTGTGGTTTTCTGCGGTACAAAATTTTTCATGAGCGCCTTCTTGCGTAGCTTCGTTCCATACGAAGACTGCCGACGGCCTCCCGAGGAATTACGACCCTTTCTTGATCAAATCGAGCTGCAGAGTGAAATAAGTATAAATTTTATTTCCTAATTCTGTTGGTGCCTTTGGGTCGCTTTACCGCTTTCGAATGAAGTAGACTTGTCATAAATAGTGATTATTTAGTGGCTAGTTTGTGGGTGTGCTTAGGGTAGTGTATAGCATAAACAAGTGCTATTTCAGGCGTATTGTTTCTGTTGGGTGCAGAACCTTCTGTTGGAGGTGGGGTAGGGTTGAATGATGAAGGATGAATTGAGTTACAAGTTGTTGTCAACACTTCCAAATAGAACATGTTCGTATTCTCGGCATTGGACTGGCACTAGCTTGCAGTAGAGGCTCATGTGGGGGAATATCGTTAAAAAGAGATCAATATCATTCCCCGCATTAGCCTCAGTTGCAAGCTAGTTCCAGTCCACCACCGGGAATACTAATATGGCCTATTGTTTTCAAGTTCTTGGAAAAAGATCAAGAAGCTAAAGGGAGGCTGGAGACAGTAAAAGAGCACGGCTTGGGGAGAGTATGCGCAAGAGCGCCAGGGAGGGGTAGGTGAGGGAATCGTTCTGAAAGTGGTTCCTTTAAACGCATATATTTGTGCTAGTGCATTCCGAAGCTTGTTCACAGTGAAGTGGTGAAAACCTCTTGCAATAGCTCTGCAATGAGGGAATAAAATAATTATTTAATTGTAAAAGTCCTTGATTTGTGTAATAATACTTACTGGCTCTCTCTTTAATTCATTTTTCATGTTTTTAGGCAAGGCTGCTTTTGATTTCTTTTTTTCTTTTCTGCATCGTCAATTAGAGATTATTTACGTTTTGACAGTGGTGAAAGAAGAAAAAAAGACGCTTTATGGAATTTGAACTTGATAGGAAAGTGCACAGCTGGAAATGTCCCTTGAAAGATTCCTTTACAATATCTGCCTGCTGTATTTAATGAACTCAAGATTGTGCAGGGAGCAGGGTAACAATAGGGAAACGAATCTGGCAATAAATTACGTGATACTGCATTTTTAAATTGCTGGGGTGTTTATTGGCACAGTTCTGTTACGGGAGATCACCTTGAGCTAGCCGTCGGCTAGATATCACTTGCCACTATCAATATCATTTTCCTTGCGCTTGTGGACTCGAGTACGTCCTTGCATCTCCTCTGCTAACTATGCTTGCATACGGCTGACGCCCCTGAAATTTGCATTGACCAATCAGGATTCAGCAGGCGGGAAAAACTGTGCTGTCCTGACCATAGTTAGTAGAGGAGACTGGTTCTGAAAGCCGGCGAACTTTAAAGAACTATGATGAATATTAACGATCTGTTAACAGGAAAGGCACTGAAGTTGGGCAACTTTTCTCACTGGAGAAGGCACTGAATATTCACGAAAAGGGATGTATAATTCCAAAAACCTTATCAGATTGTAGAAAGTGAAAATTATGAAACCTTATGTGTCTCCAAGGTTTTAATTTGGCGCCAAAAATGAGTCTCGCTCGCTCGACGCGCGTCGATTATGGCTAAGTATGAAAATATCCCCTTATGTACAAACGCATTCGAACATTTTTAACCACGTTCACGTCTATCCACAGATGAAAAGATATTGACAGCTCAGTTAACCAATCACATTGCACGATTCACTTCATCTGGAACACGCGTGCGCGAAGCGAACTGCAGAGAGGTTTAACTCGCGCGCAGGAGGACGGAACGTTATCTATCCCGGGCGATTTTCAATCTCACTAAGGATAACACATGAAATAGGTGTCGGATGCAAGTTTAACCAAGAGTATTTTAACGCCCACAATCGGTATTCTAACTCTGGCGAAATTCTACTAACGTGACGTCACTTTAATTGGCGAAGTCATCGCAGAGCTGTTTGTGACGTCATGATTCACGCGCGGCGGCAATGAGCAGATAAGCAGTATTTCTTGAATGCTACAATGTGAACAATCTGCGAAGTGATGTGCTGGTTTCTGAGGATGAGATTAGCCAGGTAAGCCGCCGGGTATAAAAATGTTTTCAAGGTAATGGAAACTGTTCAGTGTAGAGCGTAGTGTAAGGGTTGGTTTCTAGTTTTCACAGGATAACACTCTCAATTAACGACTTACTCGCACCAATTTAATTGACTCTACATAGCTGAATTTCAATTTAATAACAAAAAATTACACCACGAGTCCTCCTTTTTACGTACGCTCTGTTTATTTCAGAAACGTATTCAAGCCCGTATCACTCGTCAGTGAAACTTTCAGATTATGCTGTTCGTACTTCAAGTTCTAACCCAATCAAAACGCCTCCACCCACACGTGCGATTCAAAACTCTCAGATCGACAATTGCATTGTTATTTTCAGTTATTCAATGCTAGTCAGACTTTAAAAAAGTTACAAACTTTGCGACAAGCAACATTAAACGTCACGCAACATTTCAACACAACTAATCGCAACACTGTCTCGCATAACATGTTACGCACGTTTGACCACTCTGTTACAAAGCCAACACGCGCGCTAGTTGGGTTGTTGGATCAGTGCGATACTGCGGGTGTCGTGAAAACTTAAAGAGGTTGTCGACGACGTATTGTGGTCGATTTGATCGACTGCCTCTGGAGAGAAAACGCCCGTTTTCAGGTTAGGAGGGCATACCATGCCCTTTTTGCTAAGCGTTCACAACTGCATCTGCCACTCCCACCAGATCTGATATATGACAAGCATAGCTCTGTTGCTCTTGGCCATCAACATGCCAAGAGCATGCAGTCTGTCAACAATTTCTTTCTCAAGTATATTTGATGCAGCATGCAGCCTATACATACACATACTGGTAAACGGGTCTCTTGCCTTTTGACATGCCGAGCGCATTCTTTGGATTTACGGGCGGGCTTTATGACTGGAATTTAGGGTTTGTCCCGCAAGGATCATGGTTACCGATGCCAGCAAAGCCTGGGGTAATGATTCCTTTTGGCAGATATGAGGAAAAGGTCCGGTTGCTATGAATGGTCTATTGAGCATTTCTTAACGTACTTTGCTAGCTCTGCGTTCTAAACTCGTCACATTGCCATCGTTTTCAGCAGAGGAAGCGTAAAAACAGTAGTCATCCTCCGTCGTCGTCAAACACTTGCAATGCCTCTTAGCTGCCTCTTTAATTAGGGTGTCAGCGGCCAATAACACGCGTAGCTAGAGTGTATCTCTTGCTTCTCTGCCACCACGCCTTTTGCAAAACTCCTTTCTCGAATCCGAGAGCTTGAAAACGGTAGTGTGTGGCTGTCGCGTTCTAGAATTTTGATTGTGGAATTCAACTTAACTATAGTAATAGATTGGCAGTTACGTTTTTCCTTTTTTGATGACTTTTCCATTATTATGTTTTTGCGCGCGGTTGACCGGCGCTGTTAGACAACTCAGGTAATATCTGGCTCCAAAGGCAGTCATCATGTTAGCTTAGGTACTGACTCAAATTGCATAACTCGTGAACAACAGATCGAACGCATGATCGGAGTCGACA